AAATTTAGAGACTGCTAGCGTAGATAGTCCTCTTATAGCTATTATCTTTCCTCTAGTCTAATAACTTGAAATTTAGGGACTGCTAGCGCAGATAGTCCTCTTATAGCTATTATCTTTCCTCTAGTCTAATAACTTCAAATTTAGGGACTGCTAGCGCAGATAGTCCTCTTATAGCTATTATCTTTCCTCTAGTCTAATAACTTCAAATTTAGGGACGGCTAGCGCAGATAGTCGTCTTATAGTTATGCGTGAAATCCAGCAAACAAACCGTAGCTAAGCCTAATATTGTATATTTTAATAAACCTTAAGTATTATAAAACTACAAATTGGTATATGCCATTCACGTTCCTGTGTCCAATTTATCTTCGCGGCTATTTTTTGTATAAGTTATATTTTCCATGAAATCGCAATTTGGAAACATATTTCTGATCAAGCCGTTTCTTTGTCTAACTATTCTCAACCGAATGAACGGTAACACAATATAGTTGGCTGTGAATGATACATGTGAACTAAAGTCTTAACGTATACTAAACTCACAAATGTCCAAGGTGTAGAAGAAAACTTACTTAAACCAAATGTTTTACAGCTAATTAGAAACATTCTTAATGCGGATAAACATCAGAGATTTAAACTGTTAATTTTTAGAGTGGATTCGTTAATATAACTAATAAATGTTTGTTAGGTTTTACGTTATCTCAATCAAATCCCCACGTTTTTTACGTTAACCTGTCCCCTGAACACCTGGAACACCAGCCACTTAAGAGTATAATATCTGTTGACACACATAGATAAGGCGTGGTAAAAATGGCAGATAAGCCTACAGTATTATCTACCTCTCAAAATAGATCCGACTGGAAGTGGCTTTTTTGTTTTGTTTTGTTTCCTGTTCAGTTTTATTTTTCAGTTCCAAAGCTTTCCATAGACTACGTTTAATCATATTCATTCATGTGTCAACTGTACTATTAGCGTGACGCCGTGACGTCACGTTGCTTGTTGCTCCATTAAATGTTTGGTCTTAATCAACGGGTTTTTCCATTTGAGTCACTCACTAGTGAGAGTACAAATTCGGTAGTTATTTCTATTGACAGAGATTTTCTGTTACCAATTTAAAAATATATTAACTAGATATGCATGTTTCAAATATCATTACATTTAACTGCAAAATTATTTTTATGATTATTAAATTATTTTGGTTTAAAGAAAAGCTACACAATCTTCGTTGTGATCACCGCATCGATCGAAACCCGAATTTCGGCGGTATGAGCCTTCTAGCTCGCAGCTGAACCAATGTTTTGATTGTTTGGTTAGTTAGTTTGGTGCACAGATACTAATTGTAAAGTGCCCGGCATGGCCAGGTGGATAAGGCGCTCGACTCACAATCTGAGGGTCGTGGGTTCGAATCCGCATCC